TTTAGTCGTCCGTGGCCACGAAACTTATAAAGCTTTTGAAACTTCGGAAATAACAAAATGAGAATAATAAATGCGAAGTCGAGCCATGAAAGTATTTATAATTGAGTAATTTAGTTTTGTCATATTTAACAACTTCGAAATTCAATTTTCGGTTCTCCGAATTCCGATTCGTAGTCGGCGCGGTAAATATTTCTCGAAGCAACAGAGGAAGCCATTGAGTGCACGACCGCTACAAAAAGTTGTAATCCTGCGCTTGCTGAGTACCCTACGCCTCATAAATGCAATAAAAACGAAATCAACTACACCCAAATCGTGTTTTCTATATCTATACTAATATTATAAAGAGGAAAGATTTGTTTGTTTGTTTGTTTCGAATAGGCTCCGAAACTACTGGACCGATTTAAAAAATTCTTTTTCCATTAGAAGCCGACATTGTCCCTAATGAACATAGGCTACTTTTTTTAAAAAAAAAATATTTTTTTTTTTTTGGTTTCATGTGTGTTTTAATGTTTCCGAAGCGAAGCGAGGGCGGGTCGCTAGTATTATTATAAAGAGGAAAGATTTGTTTGTTTGTATTGAATAGGCTCCGAAACTACTGAACCGATTTGAAAAATTCTTTCAGTTTGGAAGCTACACTATCCCCGAGTGACATAGGCTATATTCAGTCTCTTTTTTTTTTAAATTAGCGATCCTTACTGAAATTCCAATGATGTAATCCAAGGTGTAAAAAAAATACTAAGTGTAAAAACAAATTTTATTTCAATGAAAATAAATATTCATTAAAATAATAATATTCAAACTATCTTTATAATTTTCTATTTTTAGAAACCTGACACAAATATAAGGGTTAATGTGTGTGTATTATAATTTTTTATTTTGAAATTTGTGTTAAAGACCCGAGCGAAGCCGGAGCGGGCCGCTATCTTTCATAAATACAGAAAATTGTGACATAATTCATATTATTTATGCGTACGCGGCATAAATTTAATACTAAGTAAAGCTTACCTATACGAGAATTGTATCTTATAATTTGAGAAATATCCTGAAGATTTATTTATTGTCAAAATGCTTCATAGTTTTCGGACTATTTTCATTATTTACTGATGTTTATAGGCTCCATAACACCAAGTGAACCGCGAGCTCGTTCCGCCAAATGAGCAATGAATAAAAGTAATTCAACAGTTATTGGTAACCTCTAAATTTGATATTCCCTGTCCATGTGAAAAATTTAAATAAATACTGGAAAATAATTTATTTATTACTTAATAAATAAAATTAAGCTACCATTAAAATAATTTATTTATTTTTATAAAAATATTTGCCTTTTTAAAATTGTACCCTGAAGGTTTCTAAAAGCAAGCGCGTCAATTTAAATACGACCAAGAAACCGACCAAGAGACCATCTAAAAAGAATAATTATAAATAATTTTATGAATAACTTTATTTTAATGTTATTGCAGTATGAAACTAAATATAATCGAAGTATAAACTTTGATTGAAATACGCAATATAAATCAAAGATTTCAAAGGAAACCTGAAGTGTATCTTCCGAAATTTATCCTTTTGTTAAATATTTGAAAGATTCCGAAAAGCCGTTCGTGCCGTAACTCAATAAGGAAAGTATTTCAATAATATATACGGGATTCATTCCGTCTGTTTCATACGTGTACGCTTTTCGAACTCCCAACGTGTATTGGAAATCGAATTGTATTAAAAGACAATATCCGGTGTCTGATTTATTGAGGAATGTTTGTTCAACTGACGATTTAGGTATCGAAACTTATTTTGCCAGCGTATTTAAAGTTAAAAGTCACCGACCAGTATTAACGACATTAATTAGTTGGTTTGTTATGAAAACACCGAAATACGGTTCGAATTCTTAGGAGAGACTTGCGATTTCAAGAATAGCAGTATCATTTTTAGAATTCGAAGTAGTGAGAAGTGTTTGTTGTAAAAAGCTTCACGTTTAATGCATTTCCAAACACATTTTATTTAATTGATCGTCCTGTCAACTGTCTTTTAAGTTAATTGCTTTGGAAAAAGAACAAATTGCTGTTTAGTTGTACGTTTTTTTTCTTCTGTATTTATACAAATTAATTTAGATCACGCTTATCTTATTTTTATTTTTATTGCTTGGATGGGTGGACGAGCTTACCTCCCACCTGGTGTTAAGTGGTTACTGGAACCCATAGCCATCTACAACGTAAATGCGCCACCCACCTTGAGATATAAGTTCTAAGGTCACACGTTACAACGGCTACCCCGCACTTCAAACCGAAACGCATTATTACTGCTTTGCGGCAGAAATAGGCAAGGTGGTGGTACCTGTGCGAACTCACAAGAGGTTCTACCACCAGTAAAAAGTAATCTCAAAGTAATGCGGTAGTAGTCCCGATATTTGACTATCATGATTATTTTAAAGTGACAACAATAAAATCTGTTCAGATCAATGATTAATTTTTATATCGTTTTACATGAATTTAAAATTTTTATTTCTATTAAAATGAATGTTTTTCGTAATCGTATCAATTACGGACATGGTTTTTACGATTTTACTTGACACTTGATACAGTTGTTGTTTGCTCTTTAGCGAAGGTTTTAGTCATAGTACCATCTGCAATAGATTTCTTGTCTGTGTCAGTGACATTGCTGACCATCAGGGGAGTTCCATTATCGTCTTTCTTCTTTCATTAGTGACAGTTACAATGGTACTTGACTTTCATGTCATAATGCTCTTTCTTACATGACATACGGAAAACACGGGTATGTCAGCCTATCAAGCTACCGCTGCTTTCTTACTCAGTATTTAACTCACGTACATCATTTAATCAACTTTTATTTTGTTTACTGGTGGTACGACCTCTTGAGTCCGCACGGGTAGGTACCACCACCCTGCTTATTTCTGCCGTGAAGCAATAATGCTTGCTAATAAGGTTTGAAACGTGGGGCAGCCGTTGTAACTATACTGAGACCTTAGAACTTATATCTCAAGGTGTGTGGCGCATTTACATTGTAGATGTCTATGGGTTCCAGTAACCACTTAGCACCAGGTGGGCTGTGAGCTCGTCCACCCATCTATGCAATAAAATAAAATAAATTAGCCACGTAAACTAGCCCTCCTATGTCCCGACTAACAAACCTAGTCCAACGATTCCCAAAGAGCTTTTACGGTATGCTAATGACCTTGCATAGTCGTATAATAAGAAGAATTATGTTTCCACTCACGCACAAGTTTTATAGTTCCAATTAACAAGCTTTCACAAGTAACTTCAGTACTATTATTTTATTACTCGCCTAATTATCTAGCGCTGGCCCTGCTTTGCTGGAATCCTTTTAAGTAACGTCGCCCGCAAAAGCTTTGAGCCTATGAATACGAAATTATGATTTATATGATAATTCGAAAATTCGGAATCTTAAAGTTTTAGAGTATCTTGTTTAGGAGACAAGTGTTTATCTATTTACATTTCATGTAAACTTATCTAGTATAAAGATGCAACGATCGTATTCGCAAATCGTATTTGCATAATTCGGCGTTTTATTTTGCATAACGGGTCCCATGAATAACAAACTCAGACATTTCCACTTAAGACTCCCCATGTTATACTGCACTGTTTAATTGTGATAGCAATGACTTATGTACCGCAAACAAATGTTTAGTCATTTAAAATTAACAACAGAACGAACGAAAATAAAAATAAAAATCGTAAGCTTTTAACGATGATACTTAAGTCTTAGTGGAATAATACGTTTATAATTCCATGTTCGCAATATTCACATACAATTAAAGTATTACGATAAGTCTACTTCAAATATTTCGGCATATACTCGTATATATGTAACTTATACAGTAAAAGATAATTAAGTTAACCCAATTTACCGTCCAGGCCACTCACACGCTCGTAAAATTCAACGAGCAGCTCCGTGAATGATTCAATCCCATTTGTCACTGATTTAAGTACTTAGAGGACAAAAGAATTCGCGGCAAATTTTCCGGAGAGACCCACGTGCGACGCTCTCGGGTACCACGGATCTAACTGCGCGGTCTCGATGCGCGGTTACCTACCCTTAACGTTGGCCTCTACCCTCTTATTAGCCAACCCTTCTCTAAACAAAGGACTCGAATCAATTGGGATCAGACTCATGGCCTAGCAGCGCGCTTGGATCGACCCACCCGATATAATCCTAATAGTAGTTTATCATCCGTTTAATTTTCAATCGCTCTACTCTTATAGCTTGGCATTGCCATATGACGCGGCAAAAGAAGAAAAACGCGCAATATGCGCCAAAAAGGGACAGAGCGATCACAATGGCAGTTTGTCAGAATAAGACGGACTTAGACATTTCGTAAGTTGATAACCAGAGGCAGTGCACAGAGCGAGGGGAACCATACTCTGGTGCGACTCTGCATGAATATAATGAATTATAATTCATTCGTATGCAAGCAAGACTATCTAAGTGTGAATTCTTTAATACGAAGCCCTTTTATTTTTCGATTTATTTTTAATAGATAGTCCTGATGAGAAATATTGTATTAATATTTTCCAGTAAGTTTCAATAAGTGGTTATTAAAAACCAATTAGAACTTAAAGTCATTATGTTTATCGTAAAAAATAATTAAAAATGATTATTTTTAAAATAAATTTATGTTAATTTATTGTCATCGTTTTTGTCATATTTTAAGCCGCGAGACTTAATATTTTTTTTGTGTAAATAAAAATAAAATAACTCTTAAGACCAATCCGTATTATTCGTAAATGGTTAAAATTTAACGGAAAAAAAGGAAAATTATTTTACTGAAGTGTTTTAAAATACTTTATCCTTATCGATTCAAGGACAAACCCTTAAGAAACTGCTCTACTACGATCACTAATCTATAGCTAGTAGTTAGTTTAAACAAAGCAATCACAGAATGCGTTCAATAAAAATTGATGTAGGCGAGAACATCGCTTAGTGAGCTGTAAAATAAACAAACAAGGTCAAAACAGATTGAGTAATTTTACCTATAGATCCTTGGAAATGCAATCCATCATTAAATCGTCTCGTATATCCACATCCACGGCCACTGACACACACACATCGACGTTAACCACACACACAAGCGCACCGCACCTCCTCACGCGAAGGGAAAATCTTCACACACGACACAGATAAACATGTCAACTACTAGACATTGTTACCCTAAAGTCCTTGGACTTTTTCATCACAAAAACACTATTATGCACAAATGATAACACAAACGTTGTAAATTAACACTGAAACACACAATTATTTCACAATTTCACCCGCGTTTTAGTCACGGACACGTCGTTTTCGTCAAAATACGCGTAGGTATTGTAATGTCGATTCGGCGACTGTTCTCCCCGCCCTGTTCTAGAGGCGAATGGTGCCGCCATATTGAATCGCGCTTCACGGCGGCACAGTGGAGCATCTAGCGGATTCGCGCAGAACCAGGACAGCTGACATAGAGTCCGTAAGCCGCGTGTTTTCACGTTAGAACACTTGAGAATTGTACAAAAACAAGATAAAAATAACAGGATAGAAACTAAAATAGATGTGTATCTAATCAAATCAAAAATATTTACTTGAAAGCTGCAGTAAAAATGAATAAAAAGTTTGTTGTGAAGCACATTGTGCTTCGACTTTACAATTCGTACCACTATAGGACGCTAGATAGCGCTGCTAAAATTAAGTTAAAGCTGTCATATTCTATATTGCACAAATGTTTTATTTAGGTACCTGATATCTAGGTACGGTTTAATCTCGTGTTTTTTTCGTCATTTTATTATTTGCGACGCAAAAATCACCTATTCGAATACTTTACACATTTCGGTGTCACGGACAAACAGCTTTAATTAATCCCACGACTAGTGAAAATTGAAAGTATGCACATGTAATATTTTGAAAGCAAATTCTTACTTATTATTCCGTTCCACTAGGCTCTGGGCACTACTAGTAGTAGTAGTAGTAGTAGTAGTAGTAGTTCTAGCCATTATTTCGTCCATTTTTAGATAAAATATCCAATAAATATGTTCATTGTGTTTACACGGGTTTTCTTAATTTAAGTTAATAGAATACGATCGTTTAGAAACGATTTAATTTTCTCTCGTGGCTGGATTAAACCTTAATTCATTTCCTGACATTAAAACCCGCAAACCTGGATACGCAGAGTGTCTGTAATGACATTGAAGATAATTGAAGAACTTGTTTTGCAGATATTTCCTTTAGATCTATATGTCTATTACGCGATCATTATTGTACCTATTTATTTATATTCTATTTAAAAAACAAGAGAGAACGTTTCTTGGCCGCTTTGCAATGAGCTAAAACAAATGACGAATGCACTTAATAGCAAGCACATTAGAACAGCTTTTACAATTGTTGTCGTTATAAAAAAAAATGTTTTCTCCTTCGGCTATTACGATGCACGAAATGTCAGAAACTTTTATGAGAATCATATACTTAATGTGTTGCGTATATTTGACCTCAATAATTACAATGTAATGTCATCTAATTGAAGATAGGCGCGTGGACGTGGAAGCAACGGTGCGAGGTCATTTTCTTGCAAATCTGATGTGTGAATGTTCCGATAGATTTACTATTATATGAACTGAGTACAGAATGAGCAAATAGAACTTTGAACGCCCTCTGGCGTGTGAATAAACCTAAAAATATCTTAACCATGTGAGAATATTTGATGTCCTTCTTTGCATTTATGTAGTACCTTTGGCTCGTGCAAATCAAAATGTGATATTAAATTTTTCTTCAGACAAAATATTCATTCATTCATTTTTTATTGTCATTTTAGACGGACGAAGCATACCTGGCGAAGGGCACTTTCGATCGCTACGCAATAAATAAATATAAAACTCCGTGATGCAACTAAAAACTCTTAATGGAAGGATAAAAATCTTGTGGTAGCGTGAGTGGGCATCCCACAAAGAGGACCGACGACCTGTTGAAAGGTCGCATAGAACTCGCAGGATGCGGGCAGAGCAGTACCGATCGTTATGGAAAACTTGGAGGACACCTACATACATTACTGGACATCTGTAGGCTGGAGCTTTAACAACTCATCGTTGAACACAAAGTATTTATTTTTACCCATAAATTTCCCTATGTAGTTTTTAAAACTGAAATCTCAATAACTTGTAATCTTAAGCTAAACCTGGTGTTAAGTGGTTACTGGAGCCCATAGACATCTACAACGTAAATGCGCCACCCGTCTTTAGATATAAGTTCTAAGGTCTCAAGTATAGTTACAACGGCTTTCAAGCCAAAACGCATTACTGCTTCACGGCAGAAATAGGCAGGGTGGTGGTACCTACCTGCGCAGACTCACAAGAGGTCCTACCACCAGTAATTACGCAAATTATAATTATGTGGGTTTTATTTTTATTACACGATGTTATTCCTTCACCGTGGAAGTCAATCGTGAACATTTGTTGAGTACGTATTTCATTCGAGCACCAGTGCATAATCTACCTTCATATATATACCTTCATGTAATATATCACATATATACCTTCGTGCAACTAAGTCACGTTTGAAAATTACAAGTTGATGAAACTCTACCTGTTTTGTAATTCCTTGCTCTACGAGCGAGAGGCAGCGGTTTGGCTGTATCCCTGGCATAGCTGATATCTATAACCAATTACGACTACTTACCATCAGGCGGGCCGGGTGTTTATCTGATTGCGTCAATAAAAAAAACTTAGTTTTTATGAACAAGTTTTTTCATGTATAAAATTTATATGTAGCATTGTTAGAAATTGAACCCTGAGTAACGAATTCATTTAAAATTGAGTCCGTACTTTTGATAAACAATCGTAAATCAAACATAGTGAAGTTTAGTAAAATAATCATGTAAGTTGGTTGTATAACATCGATTGCGGTCGACCTACATGCTCACATGCTCACCAGTCACGGCTCCCGGCTTTTATTGTGCTCGTAAAATGATAGAGATCATATGCCTTAGTGCGTTATGTGAAACGCATAATTTGCTAACTCGATAATAATAATAATACATTTTTATTTCAGAATTAAATTCCATATGAATTGTTAGTAATACAAAATCTTGAAGTATCAGTAATACAAAGTCTTTCTTAAAAAAAGCAATTAATTTTATTTATTTTACATTGACCATGGCTGGTTTTGAGCCAATATGGACTTCATTCCAGTGCCTCAGTATAGGGCAGCGACTCCCTATCGCGGCCAGAAGGCTGTTCGATAAGACTTTAGGGTTAATATTTTAATGGTCTTTATTATTAGCACTGGTTAATGCAGTCGCTCATTCCGTTTATGTAAATTCAATGCAGAAGATATGACGCGTTGAAACTATTAATAGTCCACGCGCGACTATGTGCTTTTTAAGTAGATTATGAAACAATTTTTTATTCAATATTTAAAAATTAACAAAGTACTCATGTTTTTTTTGTGAATAAAGAAGTCGGTTGGAACTGTATCTGGTGAATAAGGTGGATGAGAAAGACTCATTATCATGGTGCAAAATCCAAGAATTGTCTTTCCGCATAATTGGCCTTTTTTGAAGAATTTGATCTTTTAAACGCTGAATAACTCTCAAATAATATTCTTTATTTACCGTTTGATAGTCTTTGACTTTGGCGTTGTGTTTTCGGTCCAATTCAGTTGGAAGGCGCCATTTCGAAGCTGGTTGACTAGTTTGCATGTTAAATTCCTAAGCTTAGGTCTCGTCACCAGTAACAACGCGTTTCACACTTAAGTGATTATTTAAAATAGTACGGATTGACTCATGAGACACAGAAGAAGCTTTTCAGAAGCTTTTTCTCTCAAGCTTGAATGAGGATTTTAGGTAATTATTTTCGTCACTTTTGCGATGTTAACTTCAATTGCAGACGTTGTTGGCCTAACAGAGCATAGCAACTTTTCCATCGAATCTCGATCGATTTGAACGCTTTGAATAACCTTAGAATAGACCCCTAAGCGCATGTTTTTGATAAAGTCGATTTACCGTAAGCCTTCCTTAACATTTTCAGCGTCTTCGAACACAAATATCCATTGACGATTTAAAATTTAAAACATACTCTTTGCGCGAGGTTTTTATTTATTGTGAAATTCGTAATACACACTATACACGATATAACAAAAAACAACACTGTAATTAACTAAATAATAGATGCAACTCAAACTCCACTCGCAAAAGGAATAACAGTTGTGCCAGTGTAACAACAATATAATTAGATTTAGAATCATTCATCCATTCTCGATACTTTTTTGTTTGAATTTACAATACAAGGTTAATTAGAGAATAGAACCTAATGTGCGTTCGACATACATATATCATCATCATCTTCACAACTAGATACAATAGATTTTATGTTTAGTTACCAATTTTTATATCATTTGTTTTGATTTGATGAGATATCTGTACTACAAAAATTTGTAAATTTAAATGAATTGTACCGGTATAAATAATAGATATTCGAAGATGGCACAAAAAACGTCTTGAGGCATTTGAAATATGGTGCTACCCCTGCACACTTCGAAATTGCATAAACGATTAGGTTGATAAAACCTGACATGTGGTAGTAATCATCAAAAAGGGCAAAACTAAATATCTCCGTCACGTATCGCGATATCTATCAGGTGCCACATGAATTATGATGAGAAAATGTTAAGAGAAACGATGACTTGGACCTAAACAAGAATTCATACTCGAAGAATGAATGGATAAGACACTGCAAGAATAAGATGTTGTCGTATACGTAAAAAACAAAAAAAATCACTAAACAAATAACAATAAAACCAATTTCAGAATATTAGAGTAAAAACGCTACATGATAGATTCAATAACAGATGAATCAGATTATCTATGGATGGAATTATAGTAGTGCAAGACTTATGGAGCGATGAGGCCAATGAAGTCGAATAACTGTTCAGTTCTTTTTAAGGAAACACCGGTTAATTGCTGGTCTGACCCATTGAGTACAAGGATCGTTTAAGTCATCATTGCGGAAATAGAATTTTCTACTGCTCCGTCCATTATACTCGTACATAAGCTTGAAGTAACGTTTACTATTTACAGATCCATGTTTCTAAAATGTAATTCTACTATGTATATTGTAGTGAGTTTTATTTATTATTCCCAAACCTATTAAAGGCAAAAAAATCAGTTTCCTGCTCAACCAAATAACAAACTATGTAAGTAATATATTCTTCTTGACACTAAGTGTTGGTTTATAGCAACGATGAATGTTTTACGAAATAAATATTTGATTTTTTATTAAAACAAATTCCGCTTGCATCTGTAGTAGCTGTTACTTATTTTCCTACCCAACTCTCTTCTTCATTCTATACATAGAGCTGGTAAAAGGAGCTGCTATG